CAAGTGCACAAAACCCCCATCTACCACAACCGCCCTTGGGCAACCATCCAAGGGTACACGCAGCGTCGCCGCTTCCGCGGCGAGCGACTGATCAATGGACTGAGCAAGGGCAAGGGAGGCAAACCCCAGGGTGCCGCCGAACCCCTCGCCGGCACGTTCGACTACCTGCCATACTCCACATGTATACAGCACAGACGCTCCGTACAATTGACAGGTTCTATACCGTCCATTTTGTCGCCGTGGAGTGCGCGGAAAAACGACAAAAGGGCACGTCGAATTCAAATCGATGACACGTGGCATCGCGCGCCAACCAGTCACGGTTACGGTTGCGGTCACTCATCGGACTTCGTAATCTCACTAATGATTTACCCATGACCTCTTTTTCATATGAAATTCGAATGAAGCCTATAGCAATTAGCAGGACTCGTATAATATGATAATATGATTAGTAGTATAATGTATTAATAGTTGAGTTCACGCGATCTATGAGCCAAAATATCCTTTTCATATTGTTTTTGGGTCCACCCAGAATAGGGGAGTGGAGTATGTACAGGGTGCGCTGAAGTACTTGCTCAAATATCCTAATATCGAATATCCTCAGTTACTCCGAAGAAATTTCTTTCCATGCTGTGTGCAGCTTTCTCCTCAATGCCAAGATGGAGCGGTGTTTTAAGAGCAGCCTTTGCTCACCAGGGAGGACCATATGGAACATCCCATTGCTTTGGAATGATGACTATAACATGTTCATACGCGAGCGCTTTTGAAGCTTGTTAGCTGTCTTCGCAACCCTTTAAGTCACCCTCGATCTATGGGCTAGTGCAGAATCATGTGCAGAATAGAGGAGTGGAGTATCTACAGAGTGCGCCAATCGGCTGGTAATAGAACCCGAGCAACTCGCGTGGTAGGGGAGCTTTCTAATACCACTGAACCACCGGTGCAGTCGATCCACTATTGTCGGGAAGACGAGGAAGACGAAGAACTAGCTTCATGTTAGGTACAGGAGCTTTTCATAAGCCAATCAAAGCAGCAAACAATATTGCCACTTACACCCCTTCTTTGATGGTACAGTCGATATAGGAAAGTTGGGGTAGGCGTGTCACCGGAAGTGACGTGCACTTGATAGAAGTTGCGTGGATAAGCTGTTGCCAGCATGCTTTGCTGATATCCAGCGACCAATATTGGAAGCAGCAGAGCACAACGATTTCGATTTGGAAGAAGAAAGGCAGCCCTGCTGACTGCACGAGCTACCGTCCAATTCGCCTGCTCTCGCACAGCATGAAGATCTTTGAGCGAATTGTAGACAGCCGTATTCGTGACATCGTGCAGCTTTCCATCAACCAGTGTGGATTTGTGTCAGGCTGCGGCACCATCGATGCAATACATGCCGCTCGCCTTCTGCTGGAAAGACATCGCGAGAAAAGAAAAGCCTGTGCATCTTGCCTTCCTGGACCTGGAGAAGGCTTTTGATCGCGTTCCTCGAGAAGTTATATGGTATGCTTACGACAGCATGGCGTTCCTGAAGAGCTCATTGAGTGGGTGCGCATACTTTACTCGAGTCCAAAGAGCCGAGTGCAAACGGCAGCAGGCACTTCGATGGAATTCCCATCTCTGTCGGTGTACACCAAGGCTCTGCGCTTTCCCCACTCCTATTTGTTGTCGTCATGGATGCCATTTCGCGAGATCTTCAGAAGCCGGCTCCATGGACGCTTCTTTATGCTGATGACGTGATGCTCGCTGCGAAGACAAACATCTGCTCGAGCAACAGGTGCAAACCTGGTCCGACCGTCTGGCTATGTTTGGGCTCAGGTTGAATGAAGAAGACAGAGTACTTGACCACCGATTTGAGTGACTCAGGCACATTAAGATCAGTGGCACTGAGCTCACACGTGCAACATCGTTCAAGTCGGCAACACCTTGCCGTAGGTCGCCTAAACTCATCGACTGATATTTTGACTTTATCTTAGCATTTTCCAAGCACCTTACTAATGGTTTCTTTTCCATGTTGCCTAATATTCTACAGGGAGTTTTGTTCCACCATTTGATGCGCGCAGTATCGTGCGGGGATCATGTGTGTAGGTCATGCACGACTTTCCCCCAAAAGGGCCATGAAGGATCTAATGAGTGCATTTCCGACGTCCTCGAAGATCTTGAAATATTGATCGTTCGTTGTTACTGTAGGTTCAGAAAGAGGTGGAAATTTGGAGGGGCGAGAGTGCAGAGTAGAGGGGCAGGGAAAGTACAGTCGAGCCGAGAGCGGCTACATTATTCTTCGTCGCCCTTCCAGTGTGTGGCGTAGAAGCAAACCCTGGCTTGTTATCTCTACGCTTCTAGGTGGTGGTTCTTTAGCATTTCCATGTGACCAACGCATACATCAGCCGTATTGTCGTCCTCGGAAAATTTTTAGTACTGTACACAAAGAAGAGTCCACCAGATGAACGCTTCTGTTTCTCCCCATTCGATTCGTTTTCCGAGACGTATGCTGCTATTCCTTCTCTATTTACCCATTGGGCATGGCGGGCAGATCGTTGGAGATTAAGACACTCTTCTAACCAGCGACTAAATTGTGGAGCCGCGTGTATGCTCGTTCAGTGGTAAGGAAAGACCGTGACCGGAAGCACATTCGCAAGCAGTCACTGCTTTCAGGTACTCGGGAATGTTTGAGATGATTTCATGGAGCGTTTTTTCTCTCTATCGACAAAACAAGTCTTCAAATAATCCGGTTAGCTTCATGGTGGTGAAAAAAATTCTGAGTAGGGACAGTCCCCAAAGGTCTGAGGAATTATGACCCAACCTTTTTAATGAAAGGTAACTCAACGATTCACTACGCCGATTATACAGGTTACGCAGAAGTGGCGTGGAAAGAATGCGTCAGCGACACTGCCT